CTAGGCCTAGCTAGCTCTTCACGATTCACGGCACGCATATTAATCCCTATGTATTAATCACGATTCACGGAATGTTATTTCTTCAAATCACGAAGCACGAATAATTGCTAATCACGGGTCACGAAAATACCCTTGTCCCCCCACCTCCCCTCTTCGTTGTCTAATTTTTAATTATGATAATTTTTAATAAGAAACGGCCACATTTGATATACGCACGCGAGTTTCCTCGACAATAGTGGCACAAAGTCCTACATGACTGAGGCGTGTTTGCTAGGATTGAACGCTGTTCATCTGTTTATTCAAAACAATAAATAACAGTAATTTATACAACCTAAGCTCCAGGATATGATTATTCCTTGACCGATCTATTATCGGCAATTCCCGCCAAAACTCTCACGACTGAGTCAGTACTGGACTGTGTCCGTGTACTGTCCGCTTCCAACTACGGATGAACGGTCGCTCATAAAAACATTGCCTATTCGCGTGAGAATCTTCGATGTTTGTCAAGATCGCTTGACAGGTTTTAATCTGATTAGCCAATCACGTTCAACCAGATCCAAGCTTTGAAACCATCAGGGGGGGGAATAGGTTTTCGGATCGTCGGATTTTACAGAAAAAATTGTTCGGATTTTGGATCTGGCGAATATTTTACTCGGATTTGCGGATCTTATTAATACAGCGGATTGCGGGTTTATCTAATATTTTGGCTCGGATTGTGGATTTAGCTTGCAATTTAGTTCGGATCTTGGATTGTGACCATAATAGAGCTTTTAGCGGATTCAAATTTAGACAAGACCGCTTCAAATTTGGGCGGATCGACGGATATGTATTATTGTATACCCCTATTCACCCCCATCAAATGATCATGATCATCACAAACATTGAACTTTCTCGGTAAAAACATTGAACTTTGTCAAAATTGTCATGAGAATAGACACTGTTTTACCTGCGACCGTTCATCCTTAGTTGCAAGCGACGGTATTGAATGAGTCCGCCTTTTACAAATCTCAGTCCGCGATTTGTAAAACACGGACTCAGTCCGCGTTTTCCCAGTCCAGTCCAGTCCGTCTTTTACAACATGCCCTTTAAAAGTCGCTTTTCACGTTGTTTGAATTGTCTAGAATCTTTCACGAAGGCAGACAGTACCCCAAAAATGGCGCCGGATTTTGGCCTTTTGGATTTTTGCTTCAAGTTTTAAAATAGTGTATAATTTAGCAACTTTCAAGCATCAGCCATATTTATTATATGCTAATTGTGTAAGACTTTAACACTAACCTTATCATCTTAAGTTAGTTAGTTAACAAACTAGGCTTATCATTTGATAATTTCCAGCGAACTCACCTTAATATCATGTTTATCCACAAGTGGGACACTGCTGTCACGCCATATATGAAGGACGTATAGTGTTTGAGTATATCTTCCAATATAAAGTCACATGTTAAACATTTAATACCACCTTAACGCTGGCTTTATCACTTTGAAGTCTTGTTCAACATTCCGCCTAGACTGGGAGCGGTCCCTCCTTTCCGCGGGTTTAGATTTCCGGGCATGCGAAAGGAAAAGAGGGACTGCCGACAACACATCAAGAAACGAAATACGCGTTGCCCACACAATGCAAAATTCCCATTGGTCGAAATCGATACGCCTGTCAATCAAATCTGATGCGTAGTAATTATGCTATAAATAATTTCCAGACTGAATGTTGATTTTATACAGGGTGAATCAAAATAAAGGTAATCGAATTCCAACGCGCTATTGTATCTGAATTACTCTGCGTATGAACGAGATTTTTCATCTTCGGAAAGATCAGGCTTTTAGCTGTTGAATGACATGTTCTTCATGCCAAATGGATAAAAAATTAGCAAATATGAATCCGATAAAAAATGTTAGTCAAAATCGCATATTTTCACCGTTGAGAGTTGGGTCTAAAACCATTGAAAATTAGTAAATACCTTTTTACCATCCGTATGAATTTGTGAGAGATGTCACGAAACGAAAATATACATCTTACGGATTGTAAATAACTTTGTCCATCCGTATGCATGCGACATGCAGTATTGGATATGTATGGATGCTGGTGCACAGTACCAATAGTCACGAAGTTGATCGGTGATAGCTCATTTGAGTGCACGAAATTCTAATTTGCCTGCGTGCAAGTGATAGTTTTTTCTGCATTCGTCCAGAGACTCCGAGAATCATATGCGATAACTGTCCCTTATCTTCTGGTAATCCGGGTATACCATAACAGCAGGTGTAAAAGGGTGATCAATGAGTTTCTCTAACACAGTCTGATGTTCTTTAGTCCATGCAATTTTCACTGATCATGGTACTTGCCCTTTCTTTCTGGTATTTCTGTTTCCTTTCTCGAAGTCACGACACTCATCAGTGGTGGCTGCTTGGATGACTAGAATCTAGTCGTAGATCGTATAATGGTCTGGCTTTTTGAGCAAAATTGGATACGTATCGACGATAATAACTACGCAAACCAAGTAGTTTTCGCATATCTCCTATTGTTTGTGGCGTGTTGCTCTTAAGACTAGCTTGCTTACCGCGTTAATGTTTTCAGGATCCATTCTTTGGACACTACTCTGCCCTGAAATATAACTTCTCATTAAACAATTTACATTTTTTCTGCTTCAGCTTAATAAAGGAATACCGAATGGTTTTCCGTGCAGCATTGCGTGGTCCATGCACGAGGGATGTCGTGAGACTTTCGGAAAGCGTAATTGAATACTCGAGCCGCAGGCGAGTGTATTTTTACGCTTTCCGGAAGTCGAGCAACATCTCAAGTGCTAGCACGACGCCCTCTCTTCTCCCGCCCACACTAAACGCCTGCTACGCAGGCTACCCAAGTGCATGCATCACGCTATCCTGCTTGGAAAACCATTTGGTAATTATGATTTTTTTCTGTGTTGGTGTAATGTACTCAGGTGAATATCATGCTTGTGATGTTACACTGAGTGTATATCAACACCGGGCAAGCTTGAAAAATACGTCTGGCCACGGTGGGAATCGAACCTACGACCTTTGGAATACTAGCCCAAAGCTCTGCCAACTGAGCTACGCAGTCAGGTTGGTTCGAGTATGTGATATTTCGGAACTGAGTCTAGTTCCTTCGATATCAATGCATTCTAGTAATCATGATTTTTTTCTGTGTTGGTGTAATGTACTCAGGTGAATATGAGCTTGTGATGTTACTCTGAGTGTATATCAACACCAGGCAAGCTTGAAAAATATGCTTGGCCACGGTGGGAATAGAACCTGCGACCTTTGGAATACTAGCCCAATGCTCAGTATTCCAAAGGTCGTAGGTTCGATTCCCACCGTGGCCAGACATATTTTTCAAGCTTGCCCGGTATTGATATACACTCAGAGTAACATCACAAGCATCATTTGGTAATTGTTTTATAAAATAACTACAGTAATATCATGATTGCGGGTATTCCCTTTGTTCTCGCAGGGCAATTAATAACTAATACACCTCATTATATTCATTTTTTCTAATCCTACCCGCTTTTACGTCATGTCAGGTAGAATTAGTTCTAATCCTACCCGAAACGACGTCAAAGCGGGTACGATTAGAAAAAATGAATATATATGAAATCGCCAAAACTAAACAAAGACATGGAAAACAATTATACCACTTAATTTATACCATTATTTATTGTTAATTGGTTTTTAATGGCCCTGCGAGAACAACGGGAATACCCGCAATCATGATATTACAAGGTAATAGCATAGAAAGAGGCGTATTAGCAATTGAAAACGTCCCGCCCGATGAAGGTCGTTAATACTAAACGACCCTCATCGAGCGGCGCCCAAGGGAATTTTACTAAACGACCCTCATCGGGCGGGACGTTTTAATAGCTAATTCGCCTCATTCTATGCTATTACTTATAATAAAACAATGACATTTTGAGAATCCCGCGAAAATCCCGCGAATGCTTTAATTCCTCGTGCAGGATAGCCTGATCATCCACGGCTGTTGACCAATCAAATTGCGTGTTTCACTGTAGCTATTATGTAACTTCATCTTCTCGTATGCGACGTAGAACTGTCCGTAGTGTTCAACATGTTCGTCGAACGTTCTACTAAACACAATCGCATCATCTAAGTAAGGAATGGCAATTTTATCACGCATTTCTCATAAGCACTGTTCCGTGAAAGCTAGCTGGGGCGTTCATAACCCCCAGGACGTTACAAATGTTGCCAACGGTTGGCTGGAGTTTTTCACGAATCCCTGGTGGTAATCCTTACCCTGATCTAATACACTAAACCATTCATTACCGCCTAAACTATCGAGAGTTTCTTGGACCCGTGGTATAGGATATCGGTCTGGGGAACTGTTCTACGATTAAGCTTATTATAATCGACACAAAGTCGCAATGTTCCATCCTTTTTGCGAATACAAACCACTGGAGATGAATATGCTGATCTCGACTCCCTATAATAAACTGTTTATTTAACAGGTCTTTTACATACTGTTTTACCTCGGGATAGAGAGGTCTTGGCGATGACACATAGTTCTTTTGCACCGACTCGTTCGTTGTCAAATTAATTTCCAGTTCCAGATCTTTGATACACCCAACATCGTCATCATTTTTTTTTTGCAAAAGAGTGGCAGTCTCCCTTTAACATGGTGGTTTTCTGTTAATCTACTAAGGTCAACCTTGGGCAAAAACTGGTGATCACTTGTGTTCTCTCCATCTCTAGTTCCGTTATGTGTTGCTATCACTTGCAATTGTGTCTCTGTCACAGTTTTATTTGTTTTTTTGCTCAAGTTTCTGCCAACTTCACTTCTACCGGTGTGATCGATGTGACCAACTGAAGTCTTCCCAGTATTGTGTGTTTTCGCAGGACAATGTCATGATTGCATGGTTGTATTAGTTACATCCATCTTTGCATAGGACATTAAAACTTGTGTTACTGTGGTGACAGTTTCATGCATGGTTAAATCATCTGGCCAAGGGGCTAGCTAATTCGTCCGATTCGAACAATACTGGCGTGGTTTCTCCTACTGGTCCAGTATTCCTTCGACAGTTAACTTGGATTGTTCTATTTGCTGAAATAGTAATGTCCGTCTTTGAGCTTTTAACAGTGTATAATGTATCTGCCTTCGCTGCTGGTATCAGTTTTATCAACTCGAGTAATACTTCCTTATCCAAATCATGAATACTGGCTTGTACTGTAAAAATATGTGTTGATTGATTATCTGACGTATTGATTGGCTTAATTAGTTCTTCTATAACATTATTTTCAAGGATAGGATAGTCAAAACTGTCATCCGTAACTAAGAAGGGCGCCAGAATAGATGGCCCTTCCTTGTTTAATTCATGAGATCAATCGCTCTTCTATCTCAGTCCAACCACTCTATGCAGTTTTTGTCCCATTACCTGCTGTCAAATAGTTTTGTCACCGTCAATTAGCTGAAATATTCCTAAAGACAAACTAGATACGTGCGCGCCTGCATCCCACAATACTGTTGACTCAATGGCATTTAGAGAACATCTCACAGACACAGTACAGCGTCTTCCAACAAGCTTAGCAATCTTCGCATGTTCACTTGGGATAAATTACTTGAAAATGACTTATTATTGTTGCAGTGTGGTCTGTTGCGGCTTGTCCATGTCAGGTCCCCCGGAGTTTTACAACTGTCCTTGTGCTTACCCCAGTGCCTTTTCTGGCAATATTTTGAACAATAAAGTACACATTTGCGTTGTGCACACAGTACAATCTCATTTGATCATCGTCCTTGTCATAACAACATCTTTGGGAGATTAAAGCATTTTTGCCATGGTTCTGTCGACATCCAACTGTATAGTGATTGTCACTTCCACAAATGAGAACATCTATCATTTCCGCTTACCTGGTACTGCCGAACATTTTGGAGGAGTATTCCTTCTCTGCTTTGTAGTGTCTATCGAGGTTTGCGGGTTTGGTAATCGAGCTTGTTCCGTTCGTGGTTAATATCCTCCAACTAGCTCTTATTAAACTTGTGCAACCTCTACCTTCACAGCTACAAGAGTCTTAAGAATTCTGTCTTGAGACTTGTCATCCACTTTCTATGCTACTACTTTCTACGCTACCCCAATCTGGGCAGATCACTCGCTCATTCTCGGTCGATACAGCACTATTCAGTTGCAAGATCAGATATTTTTGGATATTCAAGGTAAATAAATCTCTAACTCTTGCTCTTGTAGGTCAGTCTCAATATTACGTAGAAAATGCTGTTGAATATGATCGGTTTCATAAACCAAAGTGTCCTCACTTTGATCTTGGGTACTTGAGAACATAATTTTCTGCCGCAAATCCAGAGCACGCATAACTCCATAAGGAATTCTTGTGGTGTTTCGGTGGGTCCTTGACAAATCGATGCAAGACTTTGGTACGGCTCAGGTACGGCGCTTGGCAGAGCGTTGCTTCCATATTCAGTTGTAATTCTTCAGCCATATTCGCCGACAATACACCAGAGTTGAAAGTTCGAGATACAAAAATTCAGAATTTAGCAGGGCGGAAAAACAAACCTTTTCCTTGTATTCACAGCTTTTTATATAAATAATTGTCTCGGTGGGACCTCCATTTGGCACTCGCTCACCGAATTCGCTAGTATTTAATTCATGATACAAATTATACAATAAAACAAGGAAACAACTATTTATTTGAATTTTACGTGTTTTAAAAATCGCCATCTTGTATTTCTTGTTGCCATAGTAACTGTCACTCAATTACATGACGTAATCGTTATGTCTTCGGACTATTTGGCAAGACTTACATAAAGTATCTGAACCTATTTAATGGGCATCCTACATCAACGTACATGAAACAACAACTAAATATATTTTCCGAATGCTATAACACTAGCCTCTAGATATCTAAAACGAATGTACTTAATTATCAATCTAAAAAGTTTCAAAGATGTCCAACATTGTGTCCAAGGAGTTGACATACGGTGTCCTTAGCTGAGTCAAGAGCACCCACGATCCAAGTGTGGTAGACACTAAGATGCTCTCCAGTGAAGTAGATTTGACGTTGAGGTTGCTTCATAACAGGATACAGGTACGAGAATTGACTGGGATAAAACGTAGCGTCACCCAACGCCCACTGCACTGCCCATTCTACTGGAAATGCCTCTTTCAAGTAATTTTCATTACCTGGACTTCCTCCAGCATACTGATCATAGATATCAACTTCAGGGTACAGCTCCTGGAGATTACTCAACGCCAAATTAACCTTTTCCAAATTTGACTTCGGAAGCCAGTGATTTGAATCCGTCATCCAGCTGTACAGTAGTAGCACTCCCATGCCTTTGTCACCAATTCCATACGATGGATAAACAACCCAGCGACATGGAAGATCTGATATTGACTGCCCTCCATTGGAAGGTCTCAAATTCTCACGTTCCCAAAACCGAGATTTAAAGCGCAACCCTATCTTGTAAAGGGGCTGAAAATGGATTGATCGCAGGCCATGTTCGAGTGCAACTGGCCAGGTTGGCTTATTTCGGATCATACGAACAGAACTTGGTGGGAGAGCAAGAACAACAGCATCAAAATTTTCGTATTTAACTCCAAGATCTGATACAGAATAACCAACCTCGACACGATCGTTAGCGATATATCTCAGGGATTCAATAGGCGTGTTGTAAATTATGCTTTTCTCCCCAATAACCATTGTCATTGCTTCAGGAAGGCGACACATTCCATCGTCGATTGTTTGCCACTCGCTTACTACTTGACCTGTAAAGTCGGAATTCAGGATAACTTGATCAACCAGGCCAAGGTAAAATTCGTTTGTCTGTGAAGTCATGACTTCCACGTAATTGATTTTTTCGGGAGTCCATCCAAGTTCTGTGGACAGATAAAAATGCAATGTCTTACAATCATACTTTTTCAACGCACTGGGAAAGTCATCGAGTAGTTCCTTTGCTATGGGGTTGATAGCATCTTGCAACAGTTTCCCTGCTTCTTCATTGGCACCAGCTGCAGTTGGAAAGCCTAGCTCATCAAGATGGTGATTTGCATAGTCAACGGTCATGATATTTTCATCTTTCTGTTTCGTATTATTCACGTAAACCCTGTTCCCCGATGTATAGGAATAGTTGTATGGTATAAGGTTAATTGGAAAATGGGGCAATGTGTTATTCAGGTAACGTATTAGGTCGAAAACGGGCTTCTGCCAGTCGACTTGGGGCAGTCGCATCGCCCCTGCTTCAAAATATTGATTCTTTTTGTCCTCAAACCTGTGCGTGTAAACACGGCCACCAACTCGATCGGTAGCCTCAAAAATTTTCACATCGATTCCTTGTTTTTTAAGAAGTAAGGCGGAATACAGACCCGACATTCCTGCACCAACAATGGCCACTTTATTTAAATCAGGACGTCGAATTGGGGCATCTGACGGTTGTGGAGTTTTTCCAGTGAGGTACTGTTGATACCGCTCAGCTAAATCTTGGGTGATGGACTTTTTTGGAAATTCATTCGTCATTACTGTAGAGCGGTTGTCTGCACTGTAATGCGCCACCAGTAGTCTATATGATCGTTGCCGAAATGCTCCCAGTCGTTCACGAAGCATGCCGACATGGGTTGATTTAAAAGGACTAAACAACATGGTTGACGTACCTGGAATATGGAAAGGTAGCGTAAGTAAGTTAGTTCTTACAGTTTGGAAAGATATTAACTCATACTTCTGGTGGAAAGTGAGGCAAAAACTATATGCTGGAATCGGTGGATAATCCAAGTGAGCAAACAAATACCGGGCGGGACAAAAAAAAGTAAAGTACGACTGTTTGAATTGCTGCAAAATCAAAACTAAAATTGCAATGACACTAAAACAAGTTTATTGGCATTCAACGATATCCAACTTAAATTTTGATATATGCCATGCACATTTACATGTCATATTGTCAAAGATACATGCATTTAAACAGGAGTAAACCTTTTTGGAACTGACGAAATTAGCTAATAATGACTTATGTTATGCGTGTTAAGACGCATTACACTATATTGTCAGTACGTTGATGCTTGTGGTTCAAAAACAATCGTCTATATTTATCAGTAAATGCATGACCCCCAGCACGAATGCAACGTCTTGCCCGTGAAACCATAGCCTACAATCGAAAGAACGTTGGAGCATTTGCTGTTTCAAGTTGCGGCATGTTGTAACAATCGCTTCACGAAGCTCTCTCAAATTGTGCTTCAGAACTGGAGATATTTGAAGCGCACATAGACTTGTCCCATTCAATTGGAGCTACTTTCTCGTGTCGAGATTTCTTTCAACAAAGTGTGGACCCAGAACAACTGACCTCGTCAAACCAACCCACTGATTGAAACAATCATCGTACGAAAATGGTAACGGTTATTCAATTGGCTTTAATAGGGCCTTTTCAGCTAATTCTCGCGGCGGTTCCAAAACTGTTTGCTTAAGTTTAAACACAGTTATCTCAGTCAATATTACATGAAAATGTACAAGATATATATCAAAATTTAAGTTAAACATCGTGGAATATATATATATATATATATATATATATATATATATATATATATATATATATATATATATATATATATATATATATATATATATATATATATATGAATATAATTTTTTTATTTAAAAAATTTAAAAAAGACTTCTACAGGCAATAAAAAATTTAAAAATTTTGTCCCAACGTTTCGCCAGTTAAGGCTTCTTCAGGGGAATGTTATAACTAGATCACGTCCGTTGAATATATACTACAATATTATATTGGTGAAACTGGTAGGACAATTGGCACGCGCATTAAAGAACATTTGACCATGAATAAGCAAACCATGTACAAACATATTGAATCCCACAGGAGTAACGAAGATGACATGCCAACCATAACTTGGAGAATCCTACATTCCAACATAAACAATGATGATGAGCGTAAGTGCATTGAGGCGTTTGAAATTAAGAAAAGTGCGGGGAACGTAATAAACGGATGCATTGGTAGAACAATTAACATTTAAAATATATATTCTGCATGATACGCCTGAATAACAACATTTTAAATTTTAGCTCGTTATTGTCCTCATTCCACCCTTTT